GAGTCAAACGCTGAGAAGACGGAAAAGGTAAGGAAAATTTCTCCTAAAATGCTGTTATCTACTCCTCCAACTCTCACCATTGTACAAATCTGATTCATTACGGTGGAATTGCTTTGTGGGCAACCTGGTTTGTAGTGAGAGAGGGGTTGAACGTGGGTATTACGTAAGAAAGTGGAGCTTAATGATGGGTTTGGGTTTTCAAGTCGGTTTACTGGTACATGGTCTAATGAGGATGGGTTTATGAGTGTAGATGGTTTAAATGAAGAATCTGACCAGGATGAGAGAGTGATACATCGGAAATGAAAAAATGGTGGGAACTGATAACGTGGGCATGAAGATTGAGGGCTAACAGTAAGCATGAGGTGGTCAGTGTTGTCAAATTCATTATTGGAATTGTGAAATCCCATATTTAAGTTGTCAATGTAGCAAGTGTGCGCGGACGTATTTTGGGTGTTGCATTTTTTTTGAAATCGCAAGAAAAGTTTCGAAATCCTGATAAATGAAATTGATTATTAGGGAACTAAAATATTGATTTATGCTTCTGTGGTGCAGGTTAGGTAGTTTTGATGACATCTAACATTGGGTCAACATCTTCAAAGCGTCTTGCTTGTTACTTTCATGTGGGTGGGAAGTTTGCAGAAAATGGTGATGGTGAAGTTAAGTACTATGGTGGAACTGTCAAGGTAAGAGTGATCAAGGAGGGTATAAGGCTTGAAGATTTGAGGGTTATGATAGGAGAATGGTTTGGTGTAGATAGTAATGGTTGCGACATTAAATACACATTGGGCTTGAATGATAGGATATTAATAGATCTTATTGATGATGATGAAGTTGACAACCTATTTGAGTATAATGATAGTAATGCACATGTATACGTAGCAGCTAAAAGTAATGAGAATACGGAGGAAGAAGTGGCTGATCGAAACAGGTAAGTCACAAGTTTCGGATTATGGAAGTTGTTACTTGCGATAATGTTGTTGTTAATATCATAACAAATGTTGTAATTATACATGCAGCATGTCAAAATTGTCAGGACTGTCACAGCAAAATGATGAGCCAATGATTGAGGATGCTGTCGAATGTGTGAATTACATAGCAGCTGAAAATGTTCTTAGCCTGCCATATGTAGTAGAGAGTGCACCAACTCCTTTGCCAGGAATGAATTCCCTGAAATGGAAAACAGTATTGTTAGGATTGAGGCAGACTTTTCCAGATGCAGATGATTTCAAGAAGAAACTACACAAATTCAGCATTGCAAACAAATTTGAGTATAAATATGTGAAGAATTCTAATGCCCATATGTTAGGATTATAGTTTTGATGATAACAAGTCAGAATATCAGGGTTAAGTATTTTGATCGATCAACTGATCGAGCAATCAGTTATCGCTAAGGTTTCAGATAAATGATCAAGTGTAAATCGGGTCTATAGTAGTCTTTTTGATCGAAGAACTATTCGATGAATAATTTATCGATAAAGTGATCGATAATCGCTAGCGTAAAAATCACATAAGAGTATGGGAAATTATCGATAAAGTGATCGATAATATCAGGTAAACAATCGAGTTACTGATAAGAGACCCAAATCTGAAGTGTATTTATCGATCAAGTTATCGATAAATCAGTCATCAATAACGACTTCGATAAAAGGTAACACTCTCTACTTGTTCTGCACATTAGTTCTGTTACAAGTTTATCGATCATATTTTCGATCATTTGTTTATCGATTACGTACTCGAACTTTATGCTCTAACTCTCTGAATGCAGGTGATCAAATTCACTGATAGATCGATAATTTTATTGATCACAAAATTATCGATCACATGATCGAAAAATCAATGTCCTTATCTACTCTTACTCAGTTTTGCTACAGCTAAATTATCGATAACATTATCGATAATTTTAACTTGTTTGCTTAAAGAAGTTTTCACATAACGTGATCGATAAAGAGTCTGAAAATTAACATATTCGCATTAAGTTATGGTGAACCAATTTTCGATCAAGTTATCGATCACTGGTTTTTCGATAATATGATCGATCATTCAATTCCCCGGAATTCATGTTTTCACAAAACGTGATCGATAATCATTTCCTTTACCTTACAGGATTAAACTTCTTTCTTCACTATTATCGATCACTTGTTCGAATAGTTAATGATCGATCAACTGTTCGATCATTTCAAATAGCCTGTGTCTTTCTTTGATTATTTACATAACCATGTTTTATCGATAATATTATCCATCATACATTTATCGATAAGATGTTCGATCATCAATGACTGAAGCTTCATTTCAATAACATTTAAATTATCGATAATCTGTTCGATCAATTATATGTTCGATCACTTGTTCGATCATGCAATGATTTCCTCTTCCTATGATAATTCTTAAAGTCAATGATCCAACACTTGATCGATAATTTTAGTGATCTACTTCGAAAAGTCTTCATTCTGGTTATCGATAACTTGATCTATCATCAAGTAATCGATCACTTTTTCGATCAAACTAAAACCAGAATGACATTTTGTTCTTCTTACTGATAAATGATTTCGTCACAAATCCTTGAATGATAGATTAGCTTTCTTTCTGTATTCAAGATTAAAGCACTCACCACAAAACTCTCATTTGTTCTAAGTTTGAAATATGCAGATTAATGAAAACGAGTGCAACGGCTCTTCAACGGGATTACGTAGACTGCGACCTACAGTGTCAGAAACTCAGACGCATTAATGGCGGAGCCGTTAAAACCAGTGAAACACGCAAACGAAGTCACAACGGCTAGAAGCCCTTCCGTCTAACGGCTATTTAACGATATCAACTATAAAAGGCGCGAAGAGGCATTAATGAAGAGATTGAATACCTGAACTACCACCTGCGATTATTCAGTTACGCATTCAATACTCTGTTTTTCACATTACTACTGAGCATCAGTGTTTATCATTGAATTCACTCTGTAAGAGAGCCATTCACTACGTTTATTAAAAACTTGAGAGACACTCAAGAGTGTGGACTCTTGAGAGGGGTTGTATCCTTACGGGAGTAAGGGGGAGTGATTGAGCGATTCAATTACTGTACCGAGGCACCAAGAGCCCTGTCGATCTTGGAAAATAGTGAAATACTCAGAGGTGTTCTGGGGACTGGAAGTAGGTCACGTGGTTTAGACCGAACCAGTATAAATCTTGTGTCTCCTCTCTGCGGTTAAAATTTTCCTTACTCTGACTCTCTGTTTCATTCAATACTTGCACGCTTTTAATTTTAAATTTTTGTAACTCACCCAATTCACCCCCCTCTTGGGTGAGATTGTTTCTAACACCATATGTATGTCAAATGCAATGTTGAAGGTTGTCCATGGAGGATCAGTGCAAGAGCAGCTGTAAAGAGTACTCCAGCATTTTTACGTGTAACGATATTCAAAAGTGAGCATGTTCATAATGCCTAAGACAATCTTCATGTGACACATGGTAGATCAGCTAGCTTGACATCATCAATTATAATTGAAGAGGTTAGGGATCATATAGACATGCGTCCAAATGATATAAAAAAGAGGTTGGAAAGAGATTATGGTGTGAAGTTGACATATAAGCAAGCATACAGGGCCAAGGAAAAAGTGTTGGAGGACATACATGGCAGACCTGATCATTCTTACATGCTTATTCCATGGATATGTGACCGGTTGAAGGAAACCGATGACAAAACAGTGGCAAAATGGGTGGCTGCAAGGAACAACAGATTTGAGCGTGTATTCATAGCCTATGGGTGTTGTATAGAGGGTTTTATTGCTGGTGCTAGACATGTACTGTATATTGATGGAAGTCATTTAAGTGGACCGTATAAGGGGACACTACTTTCAGCGTCGGCTTATGATGCGGAGTGGTAAATGTCGTTACTCAAGTTGCAATTAACATTACCCATGTTGTCATTATCATTACGGGGGTAGTAAAATTTCCTGAACAATTTGATGCGTAAGTTTGACTTAAAGGAACTGGAAATGGGAAAAGCAAACTGGTAAATGTCATAACGGAAGTTGCAATTAACATTTCCAATGTTGTCATTATCATTACGGGGGTAGTACAATTTCCTGAAGAATTTGATGGGTGGGTCTCAGTTAAGGGAACCGCAAATGGGAAAAGCAGACCGGTAAAGGTCGTTACTCAAGTTGCAATTAACATTACCCATGTTGTCATTATCATTACGGGGGTAGTACAATTTCCTGAAGAATTTGATGCGTGGGTGTCAGTTAAGGGAACCGCAAATGGGAAAAGCAGACCGGTAAATGTCGTTACTCAAGTTGCAATTAACATTACCCATGTTGTCATTATCATTACGGGGGTAGTACAATTTCCTGAAGAATTTGATGCGTGGGTGTCAGTTAAGGGAACCGCAAATGGGAAAAGTAGACTGGTAAATGTCGTCACTGAAGTTGCAATTAACATTACCCATGTTGTCATTATCATTACGGGGGTAGTAAAATTTCCTGAACAATTTGATGCGTGGGATTGACTTAAAGGAACCGAAAATGGGATAATTTCCTAAACATGGGGATGCAAATGGGGAAACCATAGTGGTAAAGGTCATTACTATAGTTGCAATTTCCCTTAACAATGTTGTGATTTTCATTACCCAGGTTGTGAAATTCTGACAATTTATACGTGGGGACGAAAATGCAGTTGCAAAAAGGAATAGCGAGGTGGTAACAATCATTAAAAAAGTTGTAATTTTCATTACCAATGTTGTCATTCTAGCGAAAATGGATTCAAAAAAAGTGATTTGGGCTTGAAAGACTTCAGATGCAAATGGCAATAGCGATGTCGTAACTATCATTACAGAGGTTGCAATTCTCAATCCGAAAGTTGTTAATCCTATTACTTGTGTAGTTAACCTGGGTCCAAGTGGATGTAATTTGGGGCACAAATAATCAACTTGTGATTATCATCACGGAAGTCACATGGCATGTTGTAAATTTCATAACTCTTTTACTCAAACTTATTAAGACTTCAAGACTTCAAACTAACACTCCTTTTACAAATACTATATGCCTAATCTACATAATGTCTCCTCCTATCACAGATGGCGTCTTTTGGTCAGTGTGGTGGCTTGGGTTGATGAAAGCAAGCTTAATGCTTCATCACGTCTTGAATTAAGCTCATGATTCACTAGCCACCACATGAGGTTTCGTCGGAATTCAGCCACTTGTTCATCCGTATAGTGAAGTATCTCACCGGGCTTCCATTTACTCAACCATATTAATACATGAACACCGCAGTCTCGCCTGCACATCAAAACATACCAACGATGTAAAAGAATGAAAATAACACATTGGGCTACTTTGAGACGTAATAATATCAACAACATAAACCACTCACAGATTGTTTTGTTGCGGAACAGGAGCCCAAATGATATCACTCATTTTCTTCTTCCCAGTGGCATTAGGCTTAACTATCTCAATAATGTCATAAAATCTATTCCTCTACACAATATCATTACGCAATTGTAAATAAAAGGTAAATGAAATGTCAATCATAGAAGATGAGTTGCATTATCCTTACACATTCAGTGACGACGGTCGTCATGTCATCAATAATTACACCCTTCTTCTTGCTCTTCTTCTTACCCTCTAAATTTGGCTTCATTGAGTCCAGCACATAGAAATTCATTGTGCTAGGCTCAAGCACAACACAGAACCAGTGAGCGCCAACAAGTGTGGGTCCAAAGATCAAATCACATTCTCCTATGTTGTAGCCTACATTTTCAGGTAAAAATTGTTTCTTCCATTTTGTAGCATCCCACAGCTTTGGGTTAGCTGCCATTATTGCCTGAAACATGAACATTTTAGTCATTTATCAATATCAATCGACAAAAAACTAACATCTCAGCAAGCTTACCATAAAATCAGCATCAAAAATGTGCCGCTTCACCTGCCCTTCCTTCTCCATATCAGCCATTAGAGTCTTGCACACAGTTGACATCAGCTGTACGCAAAGAGATTATTGTTTTGATGAACCCAAAATGCAGCATCTACTAAACAATTAAATGACCTCATCACAAATATTCTACTTACCCGGTTACCTATTTTCTCAATTCCGCCAAGTGTCCTTAGCTGATCCCGAGTGATATCTTCATCAGAGATTTTCACCAAAGGCCTAAAAATATGTTGTCAATATCATTATGCATATAGTCAATTACCACAAAATTGTAATGAATATGATTACGTGGGTAGTGGATATGTACATACATGTCACCCTCCTTGCTTGAACACATACGGGAAACTATGTCATAAAACTGGTCCTTGTCATCCATGGGCCTCTTTCGCCTCTTAGTTGGCTTTGTCAAAATCCATGGAGAATTGATAGCGGATTTCATCTCCCTTTGCGATCTCCGGAGTTGACATCCCTTGTCCATGGGGGACAAGGGCAGGGGAGACTCCATAATTTCTTTGTCTGCACCTTCTGCTGCAACACCAATGTCATCACCCCTATCTGAGCCAGTTGCATCATCGTCTCCCTGACCATCTCCCCCGTGGAACTCATCTCTATCATCACCTTCGTCATCAGACTCATGTCCATCATGATCATGGGAGTCTTCATCGCCAAATGCATCATCATCTCCCTTATCATCATCTGGGACGTCAATAGGGTCCTCATCATCTGTGGTCACATTATTTTCCTCTATCCTTATCTGCACCTTATCTAGCTCATCTTCCATTGCACTTATAAGCCTCATAGTGCTTAATTCAATCTGAGCCATCAATCGTCCGTGCAACTTCTGTAACTCCTGCAGCAAACAATTTAAAATGAGTAAACACTTTTTTCATGAGATTATTTGCTAATGAGAATGAAAATTAGTAATGAAAGCACATACCGGGTGTAAATGAGCCACACTTCTGCGTTTTCCTTCATCCTTCCCACTTCTATCCATACTTCCCTTGCCCTTATACAGTAAACCCTCTTGCTTTCCCTCTCCTCCTTTTCCAGCTTCCTTATCCTCTCATCAGTCCAGAATTGAATGGCATTTAGGGACCCTCTCTCAACAGTTTTGGATAGTGGGAAGTGCTCAGCAAAATATAACTACAATAGTAAATCATTAACTTGCCAATTCCACAAATAAAGAAAACAATAACTTAGAAGCATAAGTCAGAAATACATACCAACAGGAGGTAGATGCATCCTCCCACATTGCAGCTTCCTTCATCTTCATCTTCGTCTTTCTTTGCTTTTGTGTATACTTTCACATAATCTCCCATCTCTTTCCACAAGTGCTTCACAATGTACGTGGCCCAATCAAATTGGTGAAATCCCTTCATGGTACAGCACATGACTCTTATTAGCTTGTCACTCACAGTTGTTTGTGAAGTAGGAGTTAAAAAACTCCCAAGTGTGTACAGCATAAACAGGAACTCAAACTCATCTTTCTTCTGCCCAGATTTAATGTCATTGAGTATCTTCGTATAAGGGACTTTACCAAATTCCTCCTTCAACCTCTGGTATGTCTCATCATCATCACATACGTCCATTTTTACCTTCTCCCCTGTGTGGGGTACACCCAACAAGTTTGCAACATCATTTGCTTCTATTTCCTTTATTATCCCTCTTATTAGAAATTGATGGGTAGGCGGATCATATGCTCGGAGAACACATACTATGAGGTCACGAGGGAGTCTCTCACATCCAATGTCAAGTAAATGGCCAAAGCCTAAATTTTGTACCCTCACTTTCAAATCTTCATCATCTTTTATGAAGTCCACTAATGACTTAAATTGCCGAACCGAGCAACGAGTGCTAAAAGCCACTTTTTTCTTCCTCTTCTTCTTCATCCCTTCCTTTCTTGATTGCTTCACCCTATCACTGTATTTCTTCTGCTCCTCTGGTGTCAACTGCTTCCATGCCTTTGATGCCTTTTTCGCTTGTTCAGACATATTCTTAAACTTCTCCCCACCCTTAAGAAATTCTCGTCTAAACAACATGTAGCCATTCTTCACTTCTTCACTTGGCCCTCCTTCTACAACAAGCATAAATCACTAAATCTGGTCAGTTGAACAGCTCAACTTTCTTTGCATTTCAAAAAAGTTGTCATTACCATTTCCAGTGTAGTCATTCACATTATAGGTGTTGTTATTTAGCCACAAAATGAACCTCGACTATTTACTACTCATATAACTAAATTTGCTGATCACGTAATGAATGTTATTGCTTCTTTCTCACTTCACAGAACAGAGCAGAAAATAGAGACTAATGACATAATACACTTTAACAACAAACTAAAAACAATCTAACTTACCAAACCTATATAACTCAACCACTTAATTCCTATTACAACTGCATATTACCGTTTGTCGCAGTCACAGTTACTTCGCCAACCTCCTCCATGACAGCAATGCGATTGATGCTTCTCAGCACTTCAGCGACCTCTACCTCTTCAATCCTCAAACCAGCAGATTAATCTCTACCTCTTCAATCCTCAGACCAACAGATTCAAAAATAAATGAATATGCATTAAAAGTGATTCTTTCTCGATGAAATGTTACAAAATTTGTATCTTCAAGTAACTTATATTATGGAAATTACTACTACACAGTGCCACAGATGACCAAGTAAATTATACCAATACATAAGAAGGCCACAAAGGTTATTCTCACTTGGTACATACTGAAATGAATATGCATGTTCATCCCCAGGTAAATTGCACCGCTAAATGACTGAGGTTATGCCCATTAGGTAGCTATATCTTCAAAATAGAGTTCTACCCACGAAAAGTCACCCTTTTCAATTTATTTTACAATGTTAAATTTGCATAACTAATATGGGGATACAGTTGAACTCATTTTAGTCCCATACACAATGCTAAAAATGTGCAATGCCCATTACATGAACAGACCAAACAAGGGGGCGGAAACAAGAAGCATCCTGGCTCATGTGCGACAGTGGTCTCAATTTATGGGCATCTAAAAAGTAGTGTAGCAATCATAAACACACACGTATATTATGCCTTCCAACATTACAGCAACACAGCAATCAGACAACAACAATCAGAGAGATATCTCGTCAAACATGGACCGAGTTATATGAATCAGAGCAAGCAAGCAACTTCTGTAATTCCGTCACACACAGAAGCACCGACTTTTAATCTAATCTACCTTTACATTCCATTTTAAGCCTTTACCATTGCTTCCCCCTTTACAACCAACATTCACCGTTTTCCCTAAATTAAAACACTCCAATCAGACAAGCACAAGACGGAGACATTTGGGTGGCTTACCGGGGTCCGAACGAATATCGACTTCTTCATCAACCGGTGACGACCTTACAGGTGCTCTCCCTTGAAATCTCTCTCTCTAGCCACCCCCTCTCCCTTCTGAAGATTGAAGTTTCTCACTGGTTTATTGCTTCTCACTACGACCCACGGAAAAGACGAAGAAGCCGGACGCTATTCACATTCCTCGTTCACAGTTCCTCAACCATGGCAATGTGAGACTTGCGACAACCATATGCAGTTTCGCCGAGTGCAATGTCAGAGTTCGGAGAACCCTATGGTCTATGCAGTTTCGCCGAGTGGAGAACCGCCAACCAAACTCCAGTTCCGTTGCACAATATCCCGCCCTCTGATTCCCGAAAAAATTAAGGGCATTTCAGTCTTTTTGGCGAATTATTCAAATTCCAGATTGATACCCCATGCCCATTTTGTCATTTCAGTAATTTACATACCCATTTTGTCATTTTAGAATTCAACAGTCATTTTCTTGTCATTTTCCCAAACTTAAAACTATTCTAAAATTCTAAGGCTACCCTCTAAACTAAAATTACATAAATATATTATCTCTTCCAAATTTTGTTATTTATAATGGATATAATATTATTTTGAAATTATAATTTACATATAAGACTATTTAAATTTAATAACTTAAGTAAATATATTTTCTTTATTACCCAAAAATCTAAATATTTCATATTAAAATCTTAATTATTTATTATAGTCTCATTTAAAATTTTTCTAAAACCAAACAACTCTTTTGAATTATAAATAAAATGTAATTTTATCTAATTTCATAAAATTCTCAATTTACGATTTTTCAAGCCCTCAGAAATCATTTCATAAATATATCTTTAACCTATTCAATACTTAAACCAATTAAAATCTCAATAATATACTAAATAACTCAAATAAATTATTTAACTTAAATTTAATTAGTAAAAACATTCTATATGTCATTGAATAACAAATTTGTCAACTAAAATCTTAATTTAAAATTCTCAAAACATTCATTAAACAAATACAAACTTATTAAATTTCTTTAATAATGTATCTTTAAATTTCTACGGTCATATATTGTCAAAATTCTATATTTACTCCATACCCAAATGATAAAATTTTCTCTAAACATTATAATGAAACTAATAATATAAATCTCTAAATATATAGAAAAATACTCAAAAAATTTTGATAAAAAGAAGTGTTTTTGTGTACCTAAATGATCCTCAAATTTTGCCTTATTCTCCGGACAACATGTACTTTCACTTTCTCTTGATTTTCCTCTCTACCTCTCGCTCTCTCTTTCTCTTCTCCTGCTCTCTCATTATCTTCCATCTCCCCTTCTCTTTTATTCTATTTTTCCTTATCTTCCAACCACCCCTCTTTCCATTTTCTTCATTCTTCATTTAATACTCCCCCAGAATTCTTCCTTCATCCGTTCCTTCCTTTCTTTTTCTTCCTCTATTTAATACTCCTCCACTTTTCCAACTTTCTTTACACCACCCCCTACTTTTCCACTGTCGGTAAAAGGGGTGGGTTTTTTTTAAAATAATAATAAGATATTATTTTGTATATTCATATATTTTTTTAATTAGAATTTGTTTAAAAAATAGTATGTTACATATAAAATTTAGTCTAAAAGTAAGGTGTGACAATCCTCACCCTCCATATATGGCACCATTTGAGTCAGAAACATGGGAGAAAATTTAGCCCCACCATGTTTATGGCTACCACACTGTATAATTTCACGTAATCAGTTAAATTTTTCTCTGATCCTGTTAAATTCATTGTCTCTAAAAATTCTTTTCCTTACACCAATATCTTCCTTTTGATGAGAAAAGGTTTCCTGAATTTTCTTAGATTTTATTTTGGCTAATAACTCCTCCAATTGAATTTTCCCGAAATTGGCCCTTTCCAATGTAATTTCAAGCTTTAAATAATTTAAAGCTAACCTTTATATCTCTAGAGGATGGAAATAATTTTAAAATTTATAATAAACTTTTAAATAATTTTTCAAATTTTTTTATGAATTATTGAGGCCCCTATATATTTTAAATAATTCAATTTGTATAATTTTTTTAATTAGCTAAAATTCCAAGAAAGTATAGAAAATTCTAAAATAAATTAGTTTCATATTATTTTCATCTTTCAAATCTCAAATACTATTCCGTACCCTTTAGTCTATTTTTCATGATTTCTTTATAATTTTCTAGAATTTCAAATCTATATTCCTACTTTGTTCAATATTGACCAAATATTTCAAAAATGACTATATGGTCTCGGTCTAGTTTCAATTTAAAGGTTATGTCGTCTATCTATTGGCTATCCTGCTTAACCCATGGTTATTTTATATTCTTCACTTTCAAGGCTAAAATTAATAGGATGCGGCACGGTTCACGAAACAAGCCCATGGATTGAAAATTTAAAATTTGTCTTTTAGGTTACTATTCACTTGTAAATTTCAGATTTTTTATCTAACTTAAAAAATTCATAACTAGTTATAAAAAAATTGTATTGGGGTGGTTCAAAATCTTATTTAAAGCTCTTTCAATTCTCTACAGGAAAAAAATATGAATTTTAACTTAATCCTTGCCAATTCATACAGTTAATTTGTGAAAGTTTATTGTTCATTTGGTCAAAACTATATTTTCAAGATTCTCTAGTCTACCTTTGAACAATCATAACTTTCGGCACACAGATTCAATTTAGGTAGTCTACCATTTGTTTTAAAGCTTAAGACGTGCTCTAGGTGCTCAACAAATTTTATGGGCAGATTTGTTCATTTGCCTTACTTTTACTCTGCCAATTATAGATGTCGTCATCATTATTTGACATCTCATAACATTGTGAGGTATGTTCATATATACTTCAACATAAGGGCTACATTAATTATATAAGATTAATCATCACATTCTTCTCTTATTTCTTTGTCCTCCTTCAAGCATTCCTCCTCTTTCGGATATCATACCTATTATGGTTGGTCAAGGGTGGGTAAGATTTGGGAGAATCTCAACAGCAAACAATAACTACCCAAATATACATGGCAAGCTTGGCATTCATAACATGCTTGCAACTTGATATTTTTATAACATAATATATTTGGAAATCACCATGCATCTATTATAAAACATGTAGGCCTCATCATGCATTCATTATAAAACACGTAGGCCTATGGCATACCTTAAACATATTCACAATCACATGCATGAGTTCATAAAATCATATAAACATGAAACATGCCATATATGCAAGCAAGTACCAAGCATATAAGAGTAGGGTAAAGTTTGCTACATTGTGTCTTTAAACTTTCTCTTTACTTCCTCCTGCTCCCTTTGCTTCCAACCATTAAGATTACTTAATCAAGTTTTCCTATTTATCTTTCTTGATGTCACATGGCCCTAGTCACATTAACGCATCAATGACCAACTCATTAGGACCATAGTAATCCCTAATAACTCTTACTTTCAAACTTGATTCCTCTTTAACACTAACTTTTCACTTTCTTATTTTTAATTTCTAAAATGATTCTCTTGACCATTTCCCACTCAATTTTTCATTAGGAATCCAAAACTGAGTTTGGATTTAACAAAATCCAATTCCTTCCCCTTGAATTCCATGTGGCTGAAAGGTATGCCTTTAGGGTCTAAAGATTCCATTTTCAATTCTAATATTTTCAAACTTACGTTTTCCACATAATCCTATAAAATTTTTCATTCTAAACTCATTGGAAGCATTAAAATCATCAAAATTCATTCCTAAGGCATGAACCCTAGCTTGGAAGAAACCCTTACTTAAGTTACATAATCATAAAATCTTTCACAAATCATGCAATAACCACTTGATTCTCATTCCTTTCAAGCCTTTAAACATTATTCTAACATCAATTTTATCTTCCCCATAGCTTATCAATTTCGTGCAACCCCTTTACTAAGGGTTTCAAGCTTCTAAAACCATTAAAACCATAACCAAACTCAAAAGACATAAAGCAAGTGAAACTACATCAAAAACCATGATCTTACCTTGTCTTGGAGCTTAGATTTGCCTTGAACTTTATGATCTTCTTCTTCTTCCTTTTCCCCTAAAAAAATTTTTGTGCTCCACCCCTTGACTCTCCTCTCGACTGAAATCCTTCAATAAATAGGAGGGGAAGGGTATTTATAATGCCATTGTTACCATTTACCATGGTTAAACTAATTCACCTTTACCATGACATGTGTCACATGATCAAACCTCCTTCCTTATGATCTTTCCCAGTTTAATCAAGATTGACAAGTGTCTCATGATATCACCTTGCCTTACATCATCACTTACATGAAGTATGCCATGTGTTTCTTAATTAAGGCAAAGTTCATGATTTTACCACATGTTATGATCAACTTGCCGAGTGTCTTCTTGTAACATTTTCACCAATCATAAGTTATACATATGGAGTGAAAGAGGAGAAGAAAAAAGAATTGGAAAGCTTCTCCAACAAGCTTCCAAGCTACCGGTCTCATTCACCCTTATTGGTCTTTTTTTTTCCCACATGCTTTCTTGAAATTTCTAAGCAATGGGAGAGCTTCCCTTTTGGTGCCAATATGGAGGAGCAAAGAGGAAAGTAGTTAGCTCCATAGACTAGCCACTTAGGCTCACTAAGTCACACTATAGAGATTTTACTATATTGGGTAGACAAAGGACTATCTAAAACCAACCTGTATTGCGTTTTGATTCCTCTACTATACATAAATATTTCCTGGTGACTTATTAGATGACTCAATGGAGTCATAAATGTGTTTTGATGACTCAACATACTAACTCAATGCTTTCATAAAATATCTTGGATATTTTCTAACTTTGTCTCCTATTTAGGGGTAAAAATTGTTTAATATTTAACTAAATCATTTTATTCAATCCAGAGCTCCAAAATTTATCTGTTCATATCATAAAATTTTTCCAATTCTAGGAAAATTCTGTGAATTTTCTCAGACTATAACTTGGCTCACAGGCATTTCTTTTTACATTTCTTGTAAAATGGCCATAAATTGCTTAACTAGCT